CACCCAAGGTGGGGAAATGGATACAGACTGGCCAATTTGATACTGTCTTACCCCCACCAAAAGATCTGCTTGGAGATTAGCCTAAGTAAAGAGGATGTGTAGTGTATGACTAACCTGCATGGGATAACTCCTGAGGACCATGACGTCCACACACCCCACCATCCCTCCGTCCACACACAGGGAACCCAGGCTGACGGGGAACGGCTGCGGGTTGCTATGGAAACCTAACTTGGCATCCCAGCGTGCACGGCGGGTGGCGTTGGCAGACAGCTTCAGGAGGAGGTTGGCAGGAGCCTGAGAACAATACATCAGAGTTTTTACATTAACAGCTTTCTGCAGTTTTGAATGACAAGTCCTGCAATGATACCTGTCCTTGGTGCTGAACTGAATATCTGTCGATAATGATGTTATCATGTAGGTGTAAGAACAGACAATGCATGCTTTTCAAACGTTACAAAGACAAACTGTAACAAGATAAGAGCAAAAATTGTAGTTTTTTTGGCATTAGATTTATCTGATTCATGTACTGAAATGTCGCCCGAATCAATTGCAGTTACCTCAGAAACATGGCTTTCTTTTAAGCACTTTCAAGTGTTAACCTTCTCCCTGCTGCCTAATCTCATAACCAGTGCAAATCTGGTGCCAAAGGCTAATGTCTGATGGTTAACCCTGCCCTTACCTCCAGTGGTGAACAAGCATCCTGTGAACCGACCAGTTCTGCTCCAGACACACACAGCTTCTGACCCACGCAAATGCGTTTGGACTCTACCAATCTGGCTAAGGGAGGGTCCAGGGCAGCTCTTACACCATACCACCCATCAGTCAGCTCAATAATGGTCTCCTTCTGTAGGAAAATCAGGAATACATTGTATATGACTATAGAACTTTCTGTCCATTGCTTATAAGACAGCAAAACATTGCAGAGGCATCAAACAGCAGTGTTGGGAATACTATGGCACATGAATAATAAAATATTATTAATGCAAAAATCCACATGAATTCTCACATATTGACACAAACTGACAATGTTCAATTGTTAAATGACGTTGTGGATCGACTTTGATATTTCACTTATTGGCCTTATGAACCCGTATATACTTTACAAATGTCCATAGCCTCTGTCCTCTCTATCATGACCAGTGGAAGAGTAGCACTTCAGGGACCTAAACCTTGATTGAGATCACTTTTCTTTATAAGTGTCACCATATACTAGTCTAGTAATACCAACCTGTTTGGTGTTGGCCACTTTTTTGGAATCCTGCTCTGTGGCACAGTCCTGACTGATAGTATGAGGTGTACATGTGATCCTGGCCACACAGAGGACCAGGGTTTTGGACGGGGTGTCATCTCTCTCCAAGATTTTCTTCAGTGCCGATCTGTAGTGAAAAGAATAGGATGGATTTCCATGATTTCTTCCAAAGAATCTAAAACTAATAACGTCAGAACTAGATTCATGATGTTCTTCGGGGTGCCGGTCACGACGAATAGTCTCAGCCGTCATCCTTCTGACGAACTCTTGACTAGAACTAGATTCATGATGTTTGTCTTTCTTCTCTCAATATTCTTTGCCATCAAGAGCAGTTTTTTTGCAGCAAATCACATCCATTTTGTACATGTATGGGTAAAATAATGCTGCTTTGGCAATAGGATAGCAGTCTCTAGTGTCCATATTTTTAAATTGAAAAGCCATACTTTAGCTTACCTTTGTGATAGGTCCACTTCTCTGTCATATCTATACTTCAGCTGCATCAGAACTTGGTCAGGGGTTAGACATCTGTGTAACAACAAAAGTACAAAACGACAGTTCGAAGACTCGAAACCTCACTGATATAGAGTTTTTGCCAATCATAGCTTCCTGAGTTATGTTGACCAATGTATGCAGAAACACAGATGGACAAACTAGCAGACAGACCAAAAACAATACTCCCTGGTAACTACATTTCATGGCAGTAAAGATGTACCTTGAGAGAGACAAAAATGTACCATGTAAGTACAAGTGAATAAAAAAAATGGGAATATTTTTTTTTTTTGCTCCATCAAACCAGTGCCAAACTAGTAGGAGACACATGAGAGAAACTGTGGGGTGAGACAGAAAAGAGTGCCCGGATACATTGTATATTCAACAACATATCTTTTACTGACCTTCCCCCAAACTGTACAGGAAATGCTGCTTCCATGGCAGCTAGTTTCCAGACAATCCACCTGTAGTGATTGTGGATCCATTCTGGAGTCACCAGGCCAGGGTCCACTCCAGGGGTGTCTAACAAAGCACTGTGGAATAACACACTTCTATCAGACTTTCACGCAAACAACAGGTTAAATGATAGAAACAATCCATCAATATTGGATCCAAAATCCATCTGAGTTACAGCAAAAAATGCAAAACTGTATGTCTGTATTTTTCTCAGTTAACTTAACAACAAAGACAACCATATAGTTTAACCAACCACAATTCAAGTTAGGTAAGAGAGAAAAGTAAAATTTGCAAAGCAAATACATATCATTTAAATGTTTACCTTCACATGGTCTAGCCTAGCAAACTACTATTTATTATTCCTGTTTATTATTCCTCATCAAACATGTTGATTACATGATGACCAGCCCCTCCAACTCTGTCTTGCTACATAATGTAACCCAACACCACAAGGTGTGCTACAGCACCAGTTACTATAGTGATGGCTATTTGGTCCAGATAAACATAATACATAAAAGGCAAGTAAAAACTATGACTCTTTACTGTAAATTGCTGTAAAAAAATATAGTATTTTCATGCAGCAGGTTTAAATTTGGTACCTGACAAATTCATCTTTCCCTGCAGTGCCATCCTCCAGTGGTACCAACACCCCTCCGTCTGTTAGTGTGATGCCCTCTCCCCTGTCCAGAGTGTCAGGGCTGACGTGGTCTCTACATACAAACCTAAAGGACTCCGCTGTCTCGCATGTAACAGTGCAAGTGGACTGGTGAACTCCATAGGAGTACAACTATGGGGAGACAGGGAACATGTAGTGACCAGGATTGATATAAAATCAACTACAAAAGTAACATTTGGAAAGAAAATGCATAATGTTTACCTTCACAAGGTCTAGCCCAACAAAGTACTGCTCTGTTTATTCTTGGCTCAAATAAATCTAGACACATGTATATAGTGACCAGCCCCTCCAGATATGTCCTGCTACATGATGTAACCCAACACCACAGGGTGTTGCTACAGCACCAGTTACCATGGTGACAGACGTCTGGTCTAGGTGTGTCCTTATGTTTTTGGAGAAGAAGAAGAAACTGAGCAAAAACAATGTTTTCCTTCTGCCAAGGTAAGCATAATTAAAAAAATTAATAGATACAATATTTCTTGACAGCAGTCTTTTGACATAGCCAGCTATGTCCTCCTGCACTTCTTCAGTACAAACAAAGTGGTTACCTCCTGTGTTGTGTAAGATCCCGGTGTCTGGCTGCAGACAGCCTCCCGCAGTCCCACCCTGCACTGCTGCGTCAGTCTTCTCTGCAGCAAGCTGCCATACTCTGGATGGATGGTCTGCTTCTGTTAACATAATAACAGGAATTCTAGTTATCACCATTTGTATCAAATAGCAGCAATGTGATGTTTAACAATTTAAAGTAGATAGCTGTTGTACACAGATCCCTTGGCAGAGGTCAAAATACATGTACCACCTACATAATATGCAGGCATTTCTGAAGTCTACCTGCACCTAACCTGCACTGGTCCACATACTGGGTGTATAGATACATGTAGGTGTATGTGGATTTTTATTAGCTGCATTGACTGTCATCAACCATGAAGATGTTTACAGTTCAATACCTTTCATTCTAAACCACAATATAAAAGTACCTAAAATGATGCTTGTAGTAAATAGTATTATATTGTCACTAACCTTTTTCTGAGCTATTCTTACAGCCTGTGCCTTTCTTGTCCTTTCCAATGCCTGAACTTTTTCCGGACGTTCCGTAACAGTCTCATGTGTGTCACATACACTGTTGTCATCTTTACATGCTTCCTGGCTATCTGGAATATTGTCTTTAGTAGCACGGTCAGGACAATCATATTCGGTTTCTCCATCCTCTTTTCCAGGCTTTGCTTTGAAAGGTGCAGAGAAGGTTGGGGCTGGAGACTTGAAGGGAGTTTTGAAGGAGTTTTCGGTGGAGTTGTGTGCTTGTGGTGTGGACACCACAGGCCGGCGGGTTGGTGGGGGCACGCTGGGTGGTCTTCTACAGGCACAGAAAAATGGAAGACAAAAGCACTAAGAAACATCATAGAGATGATAGCCAACATGCACTCTCCTTAGTGATGAGTAAGTTGTTTATAGGCATTTACTATTGGACATTCTGTGATCACTTAGCACAGTCCTGACCAATCAGAAACACTGTCATTGTCTTGGTGCTGAACTAAAGCACTGTTGGTACTATCCTTGGTGCTGAACTAACCAATCAGATGAAATGATAAAGTTGAAATGACCAATAAGCACTGTCCTTGGTGCTGAACTAACCAATCAGGCACAATGATTGAAAAGACCAATCAGCATTGTCCTTGGTGCTGAATTAACCACTCTGGTGCACAAGCACCCCTGGAGTAATCAACTGTCGCTGTCCTTGGTACTGAAACAGGCAATCACAAGAATATACCTTACAGTAACCTGTGTCTGAACTGACCAATTTTTGGACTTAAAAGCAGTAACCTTGATGCCAATGCAATCAACTGATCCATTCATTCATTGATTAATCAATCAATCAACCAATCAGACACCACTGACCTGAAGTCCTGTCGAGGCTTTGAGTGGAGCGGCTGCAGTCGAGTACGGACAGAGAAACCATGGCGATCATGGACCACACCTAGCAACGAGGAAATTGGACAACATGATTTATGAAAAGCATCTATTATAATTAGTTGAACATGAGGTGATGCGTTAACACGATACAGGATAGTTTTTAGAAACAAGTTTAGTAATAAGTTAATCCCACACCAAGCTGTTTTCTCTCTATGTAATTTATTGTGCATAGCACTTTATTTTCTCTCTATGTAATGTACTGTACATGCCATTTCTGCAGAAAATCTTGTTTAAAGTTGTATTCGTGTGTGTAAGGATGACATTCTACCTATAGTTTTGAAATGTTGTGTCAGAAATACATCGTCTGTAACAGACAAAATCTTGATGCAATGTTGGTCAAACATCCAATAAAATCAGTGAAAAATCTAGGTTTCACGCAGGTGCAGTATGTTCTGTCGACGTGCTTACATGACCTACCTTCAGGATGTGTGGCTAGTGGAGGCCTGAAGGCCTGTCTGTGTCCCACATGTAGTGCCTGGTAACCAGCAGGAGAGGGGGACTGTCTCTTACTTGGAGGCCAAATAGCTGGAAAATAGCGATGATATAGAATTATGGTTTGAACAACATAAAGTGTACCTCATGGTGTAGTTAGTCAAAAAACAATTACAGTTAACAGTTACCATTTGCTGCTCTTGCCTAAAAAGATACCAGTACCAAAAGGAAAACCTAGTAAGATGCCTAAAAACATGCCAAAAACAAGAGTTCTGAGATCTCATACCTCCATGAAATATGGGCTTGCTTTGTCATACTTCATTTCAACATGTCCTAATTAATTATGCAGATGACCTCTACATTAACATAATATATGCATAGTGGTGATAACCTTTAAGTAACTTATACATGTCACTAGGTATAAAACTCCCAACATTCACCGATAAGGAGTCACAGAATTTTCATATTAATTATGCAAATTAGGTCACCATTTGCATAATTAGTATCTGTTCATGTTCCGCCTGCCACAGGTTAAATAAATTACATGTATAGCAGTACCATTATATGAAACAATGTAATTATAGAATTTCCTCATTAATTAGGCCACACCGATTTAATTTTATGGATGACATCCTCTGAAGACCCCCAAACTAGTGCGCGCGGGCGAATAAAAAAAAATTCCGGCCAAAAATAAAAATGCTACTAAACAACAGGAATACAAAGCTGGTATTGTGAATTCCCGACAGTACTTAGAGACGTATACGACAAGCCGGCACACGCTGGCTTTTTGCGGCATTTATGAGTCGGTACTATACTTATGTTACTGAGTTCTTGAGTCGTGGAGCTTCGAATTCGATAGCCTGGGTGCTCGTCTCCGTTTTGTCGCTGACTAGTATGGGCTACCCAGGCCTAGAGCCTCGGTGGAGGTGATCTTTTTTTTTTTTTTAGGGCGACAGGCGAAAATCAATGCGCGCGCGGATGTCATCCATAAAATTAAGTCAGTGTGGCCTTATGCAAATTAAGTCCCCATTTGCATAATTTGCATTTAATCATGTACAACTGTCTCTCAGGTACCTACACACCAAAAATGATGAAAATACGTTGTTCCAATCTGGACTTATTGGCTTTGAAACTTTTTACCAGAAACTAATCTGCAGTTCCAGAACAAGGTGCTAGGGGGACAAAACTTACGCCACTTATTCCTGACAGTATAAGCTATCTGTCACTAAAACGTCAAGACCATAGCTTGTCCAGGACAAAAGATACAAAAACCGGAAGTTCTGCTGCAGTACCAAGGTCATCCACCAGGAGGCCCATACTTGACCTTGACCTTTGCCTTTCCAAGACTTACCATCAGACCAAATATCATCACAATCCATAAAGGTGTTCTAAAGTTATGCTGACTACAAAGTTGCGGAAACACACACAGACAGACAGACAGACAGACACACACACAGACAGACACGCCAAAAACAATACCTCCATTTTTCATGGAGGTAATAAGCTAAAGCCTAAACCTCTGCTTGGAAAGCATGCATTTTAATCTCCAGCCTGCTTGGGTAGCTGTTAGTACATGTACCAAATTTGGATTGGTTTTGGGTTAGGCAGCAGGGAGAAATTTGATATGCATACCCCTAGCAAGACATGCATACATTTTTTAAACAGAAAGGGAACTAACCCTTTGTTTCTGATGAAGTCAGAGTTCTTTTCCTGGCACTTCTATCTCTGTGCAACTGTTCCTCTTTGTCCTGAGGCACTCCAATTCTGGTACCGTGTCCATACTTGTCTGTTCCCGATGACAAAGCTCTAGGGTCACTTCTTTGCAGTGGAGGCGAATGTTCCGCAGTACTTTCTGCAAACCCTGTATCTGTCTCCATAGATTTGTGTTCTGACAACCTTTCCCGTGCCTTTTGGAGTGCCTCCTGTGACACTTCTATTTGTTGTCCCCTGGCCGTTTGGAAACCTGCAAACTTTGAAGCATTTGTATCCTTTGGGCTTTCCACCTTGGTGCCTCGTTGCATTCCTTCATGGCCTTGGTTGAAATCATCAGACAGGATGGCTCTAGCTTTTTGAAGTGCATCTTCTGATACCTCTATCTTCTGCCCTTTTGCAGTTTGAAATCCTCTAAATTCTGTACCATTATTGGACTGTCCCTGATCGGTTAGTAGTGAATTTTCAGGAGAAATATTTCCAGGCAGACTGGCATCATCTGAAAACAGTGCCTTTGCCTTTTGGAGTGCTTCTTTTGATACATGTATCTTCTGACCTCCGGCCGTTTGGAAGCCCCTGTATGGGACGGTGGTCTTTTCACTGTCTTCTGGGCTTTTCTTTGCCACCTCTGCTGGATCGTCGAAGCCTGATTCTGACTCTTTCCACAAGTTTTTAGCAAACTGTAGAGACTTTTTCGACACCTCAATTTTCTGTCCTTTTGCAGTTTGAAATCCTCTAAATTCTGTACCAATATTGGATTGTCCCTGATCGGCTAGTGGTGACTTTTCCGGAGAATTGTTTCCAGGCAGAGGCGCATCATCTGAAAACAGTGCCTTTGCCTTTTGTAGTGCTTCTTTAGATACATGTATCTTCTGACCTCCGGCCGTTTGGAAGCCCCTGTATGTGACGGTCGTCTTTTCACTGTCTTCTGGGCTTTTCTTTGGCATCTCTGCTGGATCGTCGAAGCCTGATTCTGACTCTTTCCACAGGTTTTTGGCAAACTGTAAAGACTTCTTCGAAACCTCAATTTTCTGTCCTTTTGCAGTTTGAAATCCTCTAAATTCTGTACCAATATTGGATTGTCCCTGATCGGCTAGTGGTGTCTTTTCAGGAGTATTGCTCCCAGGCAGAGGGGCATCTTCTGAAAACAGTGCCTTTGCCTTTTGTAGCGCTTCTTTAGATACATGTATCTTCTGACCTCCGGCCGTTTGGAAGCCCCTGTATGTGACGGTGGTCTTTTCACTGTCTTCTGGGCTCTTCTTTGCCGACTCTGCTAGATCGGCAAAGCCTGATTCTGACTCTTTCCACATGTTTTTAGCAAACTGTAGAGACTTCTTTGAAACCTCAATTTTCTGTCCTCTGCCTGTAGTAAATCCTTGAAACTCTGGTAGTTTAGAACTACCCACTGGTTCTTTGCCAAGGACAGACTTGCTAATGTTGGCTTCTTCGACATCCTGAAACATCTGCTTTGCACGTTGGAGAGAAGTTTCTGAAACACTGACAGTACGACCACTGGCAGTTTTAAATCCTGCAGATAACGCATTTTTCGGAGAGCATGTCATGTCTTTCTTTTTGATGATCTGTTCATCGAAGGTAGCAGAATCCTGAGTTTCCACAGAACTTCCTGGACATGTCTCTTCAACTTCATTCTTCCAAGCCAACTTTGCTTTTTGCAGAGCTTCTGCTGAAACATGTACTTTTTTCCCTCCTGCAGTTTGGAAACCTGTACATTTCAGACTGTCTTTTGTCGTGGCATCATTATCTTTGACATTATCAACGTAATCATCCACTGTGTCCCTCCACATCTCTCTGGCTCTTGATAATGCCTGATCTGAAACATCAACTTTCTTGCCACTTGCGGTTTGAAAACCGTGGAACCCTGAAGAACTTTCCTTATGACCAGAGGAGCTTTTGACAGTTTCAGCACACAGCTCCTCTGCTTTCGGCCGTGCCTGTTCCGACACTTGAACATGTTTTCCTTCGGCAGTTGCAAATTTCCTGGAGTTGTCCCGTTGTGAGTCGCCATTCTCATCTTCATCCTTCCACATTTGTTTCACTCTCAGCAATGATTCTGTTGAGACATTGATCTTACATCCACCAGTTTGAAGACCAGGAAATGTCTTGCAATGTTTCTTCTTCACATCTACCTCCAGCTCAGTTTCTCCTCTATCTGTATCCTTCCAGAGTTGTTGTGCCTTTTGCAGTGCCTCCTCTGACACAGCTACCTTGTGCCCACTTGCAGTTTGGAACCCTGGAAACCCTGATGAAGAGGCATTCATGTTACAAGTTGGAGTGCCTTGTGGTTCTTTGTACTCTTTCCACATCTGCTGTGCTTTCTGTAGTGCCTTTTCTGATATCCTCATTCTTTTTTCACTTGCAGTTTTGAAACCTTCTGCCTTGGAGAGACATTTATCTGCAGAAATGGCAAGCATGTCCTGTTCTGGCTGTCCTGAATCGTCCCACATCTGCTTTGCCCTAGCCAAGGCTGCATCTGACACTTTGACCCGGTGTCCACTTCCAGTCTGGAAACCCTGAAACTTCGGTGGACAGTCTGTTTCTCCCGACATAGATGTCTTCCTTTCCTCTTCTTCCAGTTTTGTACTGTCCCAAAGCTGCCCTGCCTTCTCTAGTGACTTCTTAGAAACTTGTATCTTCTTCCCTGCTGCAGTGCTAAAGCCTACATTGTTGGATGACTCCATTTCTTCATCACCTTTCAATTGGTTGTCTTCAGGTAAGGTCTCCCTCAAATGTTCCATAGAACTCCCATGTGAGACCTCTGTTGGAGAAGTACATCTTGACAACTTGTTGAAAGGGACAGAAATTTCCTTGGCTGGTAAGAGCTCTTCTTTTGACTTTTCCTTCACATGCTTCAGGGCTCCTTCTTTAACGGACGCTTTTCTTCCACTGGCAGTTGTTAAAGGACACGACTTGTAAGACCAGGTCCTATCTTCATGCTGGGTATGTTTCTTCACACTGACATCTTCAGTCTTCTGTTGACCTGCTTGAGATATACATGTACTGTGGTATCTGGGTTCTTCCAGGCTGCTGGAATATGTGGTGGATACATTATTTTCCTGTGACGTGATTATACTCTCCTCCAACCCACTGTCCAGAGAGTGTCTATGATCAGTGTCTGCTTGCCTGTCCTGTCCTGGGTTTGCAGATGTGTTGTTTTCTTCTGATTTTTGAGCTGAAGCTTCCATCGCCTTCACTACCATCTCATCTACCAAACCCCAGGCAAGGTCAAAGCTCTCGTCTAGCAAGGCAGTGTCTGCCTCTTTCACTGTGTCACAAACTGTCACAATCTTCCTTTTCGTTGACTGTAACTTCTTGTTCACAACTCTGTGTCCCTGTGTAGCTTTGCCACTTGTCTTTTGTACTTCTGTAGGGTTGGCCGTGCCATTTTCCTGTGCTACTGCCTTCTGGCCTGAGCTTTTGGGAGTATGCTGGCTCACAACTGAAGTGACTTCTGTGCATTTTGAAATAGCCTCATTTGCAGTGTTGGTGTGGCCACTCTCACTTTCTGGTGCATGAACAATTTCATGATGCTTGTCTTTGCTAGAGCTGTCTTGACTCCTAGTTTCTTTGCTGTCAAAACTTCCTTTCTCTGTACCACTGAAAATGCTTGTGCTTGGATCTGGAGTCTTCTCCGGGTTTTCCAGTTGGTCAGAGAACCCAAAGTCATCATCACTGCCCCCACCCTCCTTCTCTGCTTGTAGGAAGGCATAGGTGCTTTCTGCTACCTCAGCTGCTGACACCATCTGGGTACAGAACAGCTGGTCGTCATGGAAACTGTCATTCAAACTGTTCTCTTCTCCCATTAGCTGAGAAGGCTTACACGGAGCGCCAGCAGCAGTACTCATTGAATGAACTGAGTTGTTGTTGGCTGTAGTTCGAACTGATCTTAGTCTACCTGACAATTCAGAGCACTTCCCTGACACCAAAACTTTAGATGGAGGCTTAAATGGCAGAGGCCCTCTGGGTTTCAGATAGGTTCCATTTTCTAAGGCTGGTTTTGTTGTTGCTGTTGTTTTAGCATGTTTTCTTGCTGAACCATCTTCAGTGCTGGACAGTTGGTCAGTCTTGCCTTCATCCACCTCTGCTAGAAGCAGTCTGGCTTTCTGAAGGGACTCGGCTGAGACCGAGATATTCTTGTCAGAGGCAGTCCTGAATCCAGGACAGTCTGCAGCACATTTTTGGTCAGTGGTAAAGCTGTTACTAGTGTTAGAGGTACTCAGAGGAAGGCTTGCCTCTACTTCGTCTATGAGAGCTTTACCTTTGTCCATGCTACTGACAGCTACTCTGATAGGATTTTCTGAAGCTGTGGTGAAACCTGTGACAACAGCTTTCATGGTTTGGTCCGAAACTTGGTGCTTGTCACTCCCTGAAGCTAAACCTGCCTCCACTTCTGCTGCCATGGATCTGGCCTTCATCATGGCATCGGCTGATATCTGGATGGGCTTTTTTGATGCAGTTTTGAAGCCTGTAGTGTGCAGGGATGCAGCACGGTGACTGGTCTCTTGGTTCTTACTAGTCCTTGTGCTTACAAAATCCTCCAGATTGCCTGTTACAGCCTTGGTACTACTTACGTCATCACTGGTTGATGTTGTTTCAAGACCTTTTGCATTTAAGGAAGGATTACGGTCCCTTTCCTCTTCTAACTGACCTTGTCCAGCCATACTGGCCTCAACTTCCTGTGCTATAATCTTTGCTCTTTTCATTGCATTTGATGACACTTGAATGGGCTTCTTAGAAGCCGTCTGGAAGCCAGTGAATTCTTGAAGGGGGCCATGACGCTTTGTCCCTCCTTTGGGAATTCTAACGGAGAGACCATTGCAGCTAGCTTCATCAGAGTAACTCTTTTGTACATCATGGTTGGAGGCTGGCGTCTTTGTTGAAGAAATGGCAACAAGATCAGTGTTTGAAATGGGGCCACACTCTTTCTGCAGCTGTCTGTTGGACATCTCTTGATCGACTGTGTCTATTTCTCCACTGAATGCCTTGGCTGTCCCTAATGTACTTGTGGAGAAGTTAACCAACCTGCTGGTCAGTGGCAATGGCAGTCTGCTATCTTTCAAAGTAGCATCACCACTACCATCTGTATGTTCTGCCATTTCTGCTAGAAGAGAATCGTCCACTTCGGACATCATGGCCTTTGCTTGTTTCAAGGCTTTATCAGAGATCTCAATCCTCTTGTTAGAAGCTGTGGAAAAGCCAACAAACTCCCGACCACTCCCTAGACATTTGTCTTTTCTTGGTGCCTCCGAGAATGTTCTTCTTGTTTCTTTTTGGATTGCATCCTTTGTGACATCAGTGACGTCTTTCTTTGAAGCTGTGTCAACGCATGTTGAAGTTGAAAACATATCTGTACTTGTCTTTGCCATTTCTGCATCAACCTCAGCAGCCAGTGCTGCCGCTTTCTTCATAGCAGTTTCAGAGATCCTTATCTCCTTTCTTGAAGCTGTCTGAAATCCTCCATAGCTTAAGATGGGGCATGTTATAACATCATTGCTACAGGTTGTTCGGTTCTTTGTACATCCTGTCTTGTTTGTAACCCTTTCCAACTGTGGTAATCTACTGTTTGTCATTTTAATACTTAATGTACTCTGATTGTGTACAGTAGAGAGCTCATCAGACTTGTGAAAGTCATTTCTGTCAGAATCAGATTCATAGTTTGGTTCTTCAGTATTTAAGTCTTTCTTGCTGTGCTCTCTGGCGCTCTGTGGTCTACTCGAAGCAGAGCTTTTGGACAACCTGAAAGTCCTAGAAGAAATTCCTTTAGCAACATCTCTTGTTGTGAGTGGGTTCTGTTTTCCACCCTGCCCATGAGATGGACTTAAAGCAGAGCTTGGAATGGTAGCAGTATGTTTAACCGTTCCCTTAAATTCGTTCACATTCCCATGCATATTACTAGGGAAAAGTGTTTTTGGTGTAGACCTGGAAATCTGTGATGATGTTGGGTAGAAAAACCTCCTTGCTGATCCTCCTTTGTTCATGGTGCTGGCTGAAGTTGTTACCGAGAACTTGGGAGTGTCTTGGAGGCTATCCTTCTTGGCTGGCACTTTAAGATTAAAGACGAGAGATGGAGTGGCTGTCTGTTTCTGCTGTTTTGATGGACCAAGTGTAGTCTTGTCCGCTTCAACTCTTGCAGTACCAACATCAGCTGCTAGGTGTCCTTCCTGAGCACGCGTTTGCTGTTTCAAGACTTGTGAGCTGACATTCATGACATCCAATGTGCCCTGGGTTGGGTTGGTGGGGGAGGGAGACTCAGACAAACTGACTGCATCTGGTTGCAGATCAGAGTTTTTACCTTTCACAGCTGAACAAGAAGAACCCTCAATAGATTTCCTATCCTTCCCTATGGATTTTGTATCACAACTGTCCTCTCTACCTAAACCTGATTCTTTTGTGTTACTGACCCTTTTGTCTAGTAACTTATAGTTGGAAGTACTAGATTGAATCTGATGCTCTAGTTTGTACCTATCCCTTGAGCTCTCATTTTTGGACTCCACAGACTTTTCTGCAGCAGCATCTGCAGCTTCGCAGATTTCCTGCAGCGATGTGGGAGAGATCTGCGAGAAGAAATCCATGTTGACCACAGAAACAGGAGATGCTACATTCTGTCCACCTTTTGGGTTTTCCACAAAATTTGATGGTTTTGTACTTTTCCGACTTTCTGTTGCTTCTTCAACATGATTCAATGACCTTTCACACTGTAATCTGGTTATACAGCTGACATTTCTTTCCTGCTGACATCTGACTGTTCCTGATTTACAATTATCATCTTTAGAGTCATCTTCATCAACACCTGTCTCCCCTACTAATGGTACAGCCCCAGACTGTGTCTCACTTGTTGGCCTGTTCCACTTTCTTCTCTTAGGGGGTGGCAGGTCTTTCTTCTGACTCCTTCTTTCTGACTTGGCAAAAAGGAAGTCCAATGTTTTGTCCACCTCATCTTGGACAGAGTTTTTACCTGAGCTTCCGTGAGACTGGCTTGAATCTTTCTTGGCTACTTTTGTTTGAACTTTAGTTTTCTTAGTGTCATTCAAGTCACTGTTTCCATGCTTCCCTGATCTACCTGCTGTTTCCTTTGATTCTGAGGCAGTTGTTTCTTGGGTGGTTGATGTGTTAGTTTGTGCCAGAGTGCTCTCAAACTCTTGAGTCCCATTCCTTTGCAATTGGAAACGCTGAGTAGAGGACACATCTCTGAGACTTTCCTCTGACTGGGACTTATCCTGAGTTGGTTTTAGATCAGGGTCTGCATCTGCCTCTTCTTCACACTGGACAAAGAGTGCCCTAGCAAGCTGGAAAAAACATGACAATTTACTGCTCAAATAGTGATGTCAACTAAACACTAGAAAAAGGATCACAAAGTCTTGATTGAGAAGAATTACTATACAATAGATTAACACTGGGATTAGCCCATAGTTGTCCAGCAACCCCAACCCCATGTTGGAAAATACAGGTATGAAGGAGTGTCGCTGGGATACACATAAATGTATTTCAAATCCACACTAAACATTCGTCTCTTTACAATGACTACAGATGTGTCTCTTTCAAGGGGAAGTAGGGGGGAGTGAGAAGAGCTCCTACCTTCTTTCCATCAGTGGCAATACCAAGATCTTCTTCTTGATCATAAACATCCTCTGGATCTGTAAAAAAACACAAAGTTTAAACAGATGAATATGTACATCCTGAGGTTGGACTTTACTCACATTTTCTCCAGTATTACCATTATGACCACAATTAAAAAGACTTGCAAAGGAATACTAAATTTTAGGATGTTTACTTTGCATTTCACTGATTATCACTAAAAATCCATAAATTTTGATCTTGGTTGCAAAGACACCTTGGTGCCCCCCTCCCTCTTCCTTACCCACAGCTTCAGTTGTTGCCATGGCAGCAGTTGGTGTTACCATGGCAGCAGTGCCTGGTGTTGCCATGGCAGCAGTGCCTGGTGTTGCCATGGAGCTGGTCCATGACAAGGCAGAACAGTTCAGGTCACCTCCCAGGGTCACAGTCAGCCGTTCAGGGGTCGGCTGGAGAGATACAACAGGAGATATGGAAAGATTTACAAGCAGAAATGAGCTAGGTTTAAGAAACTATGACATGCTACACTTTACAAAAAAATATATATTTTTTGTGCGTGCGTATAGAATAGAAACAATAAAATGTAGGAAACTTACCAGGAACCTGGATGCCATTGGTTCACTGAAGAACCCTAAATGGGGAAAAAAATTAAACTTCATTCTGTTAGGAAAAGGTCTGGTCTACACTTTCAAATGCTATCAAACTGTGCAACACCATTATTGATGAAAAGAATATATAAAAATTGGAAGACACAAAAACTGCACAGAAATTGCACATAGTCGACTTAACTGTCTCTCTACTAAGGCAGCCATTTGGCACCAATTTTGTATTGGTTATGGGGTTAGGCAGCAGGTATAAGGTTCAAAAAAGGCTACTTGGATACTACAAATCATTTATGACATTGTACCTTGACTGGAGGGACCTTGTGGAGTCTTGAAAAGTCTCCTTGACAGTACTGAACTGAGGAAAAAGAATACTGTACATTTACCACTTCATATTGATACAGTATTGTGAGGCTACATTGAACATTTTGGCTGTAAACGTAATACAAAGAATTCTAGTACTGTGCATTGATTCAGCAAAACTTGTTGATCATGGCAATCATCCTACCAGGCAAAGAATGTACATCTCAGTTTTGCGTACTAACAAAACAACAAACAAAAATAAAGCAATTATATACACAAGACCCAAACCACTGTTTGGTACTAGGAAAAGGAACAACATCTAAGATCGTAGAGTGATTTCTATAGTACCGGTACATATGTTTCTAAATTATTGACTTGCTGTCTATATAGCAAATCTAAATGTAAGCCTCTGAAACAATACAAGGAAATGCATGACATTCCTCTGGCATACACATCCTTACTGGAAAGGCAAACATAGTGGTACCTTTCTGTCTCTGGTAGTATGGGCAGGGGACTGCCCCCCACCCCAGGGGAGAGCCCCACAATAGGCTGGATGTGCCCCAGGGTGTGGTGATCCTCCACTGTCAGCTGACTCACACCTGAAACTGTACAAATCACAACAAATGTACAACACTTCTCATGACATGTACGGGTACCCCACCCCAGGGGAGATATGCTGAATGTACCCCCAGGGGGTGGTGCAAAACAACTGTAATGGTTAGAGAGTTTGCCCAGGAATCAAGAGGATTTGGGTTTAAACCCTTATATAATTAATATGCCCCGAATATTGTGCCCTTGGGAAAAGCACTTTGCACAAATCTTCTTAGTCAAAATGAGCAGCTAGTATATTTAATATTAAGGACGTTAATTGGGGTCCCATGTTTGAAAAGATCAGTGCCTCGAGCATGCAAAAGAACCCACCGCACACCATCAAAAAGAGTATGGGTCCTTCTTGGCTTCTTTAAACCTTATGTGCACAGTTCTCGTGTACGTCTTTTTATAAGGTACATGTATGTGTCAAAATAAAGAGGAAGAACAATTCAGCTTTTTGATTCAGTTTGGCAACCAGCAATTACACAGTCCCAAAGATGTCAACTGGAAAGAATACAGCGAAGGGCTTTTCGAATCATCCTTGGGCCTGACTACACAACCTATACTGACGCTTGCAACACGCTATGCCTCATGACGCTACAGCAAAGACGTGAACACCTTTGTCTGACATTCGCAAGAAGACTACTACAGTCTGAGTCCTACCGGAATTGGCTACCCCCCTTCCGGGGAGACGTCAGTGGTAGAAGAACAAGAAACAGCAGCCTATTGGACACTATTAAAACACGAACTAATCGTTACAGGAACAGTCCCATACCCTGTCTTGTAACACTCTTCAACAATAATGCAACCAGTATTTGCAGTTTTGATTCAAATATGTTGTAATGCACATATGTTAAGTTTGGGAGAAGAAATTCATTAGATCTTAATTCTTATGTAAAGATCTTTACCTGACCTGAATTATCACCTCGAACGTATTAGATTTTGACGTATGGTCTCAACCATTGCATGATACGAGAATTCATCAATAATTGGAGATTATTTTCTCATAATATGTTTTTTACAACGGCCCTGACTCGAATGTTTCAATGATTGCTAATATTAAATTTCTAGTCCCCCAAAATAGTTCAACCAGCACTATGCAATTCCGAACTAATATTTTTGAATATACACATTTATGACAAGTCATCAATAATAATGTATTAATAATAGGCTTATTGAAATCTGTATGCACGATATGTATTTAACCTCTGACAATGTCTACTCAGAGGTTATCTTTTAATCTGTTAAACCTTGTCAATGTGTAATATTCCCTTAATTTTGATATGATGACAATCTTAATGTACATTAAGACAACTTAGTAATAATTGCGGAGAACTGATTTTAAAATGTATTCTTGATTGTAATTTATCACAGCAATGTATGTACAAACTTTTTACCTTAATATTTCTTTAATAATTTGTAACCCATGTATTTGTCGAATTGTTTTAGCAGTGCAATTCAGTACGGGTTTACACCAAGCACTGCGAAACTGTAATCTTTGAGAAATAAAACCAATCACTACTACCACGAATAGAAAAGAAAAGAAAACTTACAGCCCAGAAATTTTTTCTGAGACTGAGGGAGAACTGGTGTGGACTGCCCCATGTTGTTCTCCAACCTGAATCTGCTTCTTTGGTCTGTTCTGTTGCATTCTGGGACATTAGGGCTGAAAAGGGACGGTGAGCAGCTGGAGGGGGTGATGGGAGCCTTCCCATCAGGCACTGGGGTGGCAGCAGTGTTTGTCTGACCGTTGCCATGGTGATGACTCTTCAGGGGTGTTTGAAGATCGTCTGTATGAAGACATTTGCACGTGCGTTTCAAGTTCTATTCAAATGATAATAGATCACCATAGAAAATGACAACACAAAAACAAATAAACAAAAACAGAAATATGTCCTAAATGTAACAGTGCAGTAAGTGCTCAACCCACACGTAGTTGAGTACCAGTACCTGTATAGCTGGTATAACTGTCATCAGCTGGCTATATTACACTGTACGACCTGTTATACCTACATTTGTAAACCTTTGCACATCTAACTGCAAGCATTGTTTAAAGCTGTCTAGTGAGGCAGCAATATGCATTCTACAAAAGTTCTGTAGGTAAAAAATGAATTTTCGGTTGAAAATAAAAAAACTCTAGGAGATTTGGGTACCTACCTTGTACTGCATTTCTGTCATTAGACAAGGCTTCAGCTGTCAGGTCTTCAAACCAGGTCTCTGAAACTGGCCCGAGGTCTACTACATATGGACAGACACCGATAGTACAGAATCTATCGATTACTTTGTTATGCACTCAAAATCTAAGAATCTAGCACATATTATGTTATATTTGTTGTAAGAAATTGTGTGGTCCCAGGGTTCTCTAAAAGTGGTGTTCAGAAATTGATTTGTTTGATTGTTTGTTTGTTTGAGCCTTTATTTCAACTCGATCTGTAACTGTGTTACATGCTCTAATCGGCCGCTATTTCAGGGGGAGTGTCAGGGGGTCATAACTTAAATACTACTTGCTCACAAATGAAAACAAAGTAATAATTTTTATACATAAGGTAACTAACACAAAGTAAATAAATAAACAAAATGGCAATAACTAATAAATAACTCATAAGTCGTTGTGATAAGTATACCCTTTAAAGTTTAAAATACCTGGATACTATCTTCAGTAGGGGTGGCATTGCCTGTAGCCAGTCTATACATCAGCTTCATGTGTTGTATTTCATGCTCTCACATATTTATCCTATGATAACATACAGTAATTATATAATGTCCTCAAGTTTTATCTAGACTGAATTTAAACTACATTGTACTAGTAATTGACTTTTTCACTTCACCATGGACTGCTCTTGAGCATACTAAATGTATGTCCTTCAGACATTTAGTACAGTATGTGTGGGTAAGTATAAGTAAGCACAAACAAACATACATACCTCTGATTTGCTCTTTGGACAGCAGATCTGAGAACTTCTTCACAGCGAGTTTCCTGCAGGCTGGTCCCCCCTGGACTCTGCCGAAGATGGTTCCTTCCGGTCCATGTGGACACTTGGCTTTGGTTGACCTCATGTTCCTTCAGTCATGGTCATTCCTTGGAAAAGGCTGGAAATTTTTGTACAGTCGAAAATTTGGGTAAGTCCAATTTCTTGTGCTGGAAATTACAGTTTAAAAATCGCTTCACAGTGACTTCAACAAAGACAAACTTTCTTATTATATAAGACATTACGGTATGACAAGAATTTAGATACTGCTGAAACGACAGATGATTAAAGGGAGATGCCAGATGGGTCAAATTCTGACGGAGAAAAACAACATCTTTCTTATGTAAACGCCCCTCCCCCCCAACACAGTGACATATCCCCTAAAAGTCCCCAAATCTATCATGTTTACCCTTACTTTGCCTATCCAATGAACTAGCCTGAATCAGAACGATCTCCCGAAGTGTTTACATATCAGTCATTCTGCCTATATTGCGTAAAACTCACGGTTTCTCAGTCAACCTTCTTATTTTCACGCAGCGTCCGCCATCTTGTCATTTCGTGACTCCCGCCTTTGGACTGAGAATGAGGCTGCACTGACAGCGCCATCTAGCGATTCTGATTCGTTTGTGCAACGGGGTGGATGATTGGTACGAAACTGGAGATTGATATATTTCGTCATTTTGGGTCCATCATAAACACCTACAAGATAGAAATTTCGCCTTTTCATCCTTTTCTTTGAAAACAAAAATAACAGACCTCAAGACATTCATTGTGGGAAACCACCAAGTGTCAAACTTTATTAATCAATCATCAAAAGTTTATGGCATACGGAGACCAATTGATGAACAACAGCTTATAAAACTGTAATGTTAGCTACACTATGGTTTGTTTAGAATTTGGAAATTTTCAACCTCGATCAAAACACGTACTAAAACAGACGTCAAAAAAAAGCCAAAGCGTAAAGAGTACGACTTTGAATTCGCCATTTCTTGCAACGTTGAGTGCATTGCCACCCAATGACGGCGTCTAGCGGGCTTGACGAGAAAAGCAAGATTTCTGTCTGCCTTCCCGAAAGTTTGTTCATAGTAACTTCATACTGATAGTTATTCAAAACATTTAAAAGGGGAAGTAGTGTTGCACATCATCAATGGCTTAAAAAATTCTACATCATTAGCCGATCAAAGCCGAGTAGATGTTCAGAAGTTACAGTAGACGTTTAAAGTACAAAAATGCCACTTGATGTAGCTAATACCTCATCTCCGTTGTTTAGGTTAACTAATTACTCTTTTCAAGTGGCAAAGGATTTGTTTTTGCCCCAGTACACAGTTTAATTAAGCATACCAACGGTTACCTGAAAAGACCGCACAAAAGTAGCCTAAAGAACACTAATGCTTCAATGATTACCACCTCCCAATACGTGCATGGTACAGCATTAGTATCTGTGGCCAAAGATAGTCGTAAAGCAAAGACCTTTTGTTGGGTTTATATACCGTACCCATATGACGCAAGTCCCTCATACACAATCAGTATTGAAGTGCGTAACAAAGTCCCGGTAGTAGATCTTCCACCTACTCCTTAACAACGGTGTAGGACCTTTATTGCCATAGTTGCCTTAATGTTGAAGTGTTTTCTTTCCGATAACTCTGTGCCTTATTGTTCGCATTGTTCTCCTTTATGCAAACAATTAGCGTGGCATTTTGTCGCTGGCGTGTTAATGCATTTATTGCCGTCATCAACTCTCATTAAGTGGGCCAATAAATTTTCCTGACTTGTAGGTTATCAGGTATATCAGCTGTACAATCTGGTGTATCGCCCTCTTACTTGTGCAAGTATGGGGCAATCAGTTAGGTTTGTTGGAACCATTCTAAACTTAGAATTTCTCTTATTTCTTTTTAAACGCCATTAACTCTCTCAAGCAGAAGTTGATTGAAAGGAATGTGATCTTCATCTATCGTACCGTTTTGTGACATGTCAGAGTTAGCAACCAAGGATTGAGGTGATCAAAAACTCTTAGAACATTCGTAGAGTGGAATTCGCAGTCACCAAGTACAGAAGGGGCTTCATCACTAATAGAAAGCTTTAAACAACGTTTACAGTTAGATGTGCAAACCTATTGTTACATACAACATTTCAAGTTCGTAAGCCGGAAAATAAAGCTCGTGGCTGCCTATAGCTAACCATACTTGCAAAGGCGTCCATCAGTTTTGCACGGAACGGTCCTTTTCTATCTAGCAGTGTTTTATATTGGCCCTGTCTCTGTATCTCTCTGTATCAATTGTAATATGAACAAGGAAAGCTCTTAATCATAACATTATACTAGTAGTATATATAAATGCCATAGTCCATTGACTATCGCGTCTTGGGCGATAAGAGGTACTGGAGGTGCAAAATCTCAAATGAAAAAAAATTCTCCCACTCTGTACTTCAGATGCTCAGTTATTCCGTATGTCTTTTTTTAGAAGTTTCGATTTGACCTATATGCAGAACCACTCATCAGTCCACGTGGAAAAAACAGTCCCTCAGCCTCCCTAACTACCACCGACACTGGCAGCCCTCTCTCTATCGCTGCACGGCAAACGTTTAGGGATAACCCCGCGACCCGGTTGCTACAATACCGTCCTCTTTGTGTAAACCTTTCTCACCTGGCCGTGTTTGGGCTCTTATCATCTTATCGTGAAACGATTTTTATTGCTGTAACTGTAATTTCATGTTGTGTTATCTTCTGTTTGCTTGCCGACGCGTCCTTGACTACAGGTGTTCTCATTGATGTAAAAAATAACTGCGATGAAACTGCTCTTCTGGTCTCCAGAAGCTAAAAGAAGGAGAGTCCATTCATATACTACGCTAAGGAACCTTATCGAGACTGAGACTGGATTAAGGGGGAAAGAACTAACAGATCTAGAAATGATGTATGACAGAGACCTCTAGCCTCTGTCAGGCTTCGGGAAGCGGCTGGAAAGATTAGAAATTGGCCAAAGAGACAGATGATATATGGAGTTGGTCTGCGCTAAGAGAACAGTCTGTCGCTTCTGTTTCATGTGGCCAATTTCTACTCCTTCCAGCCGCTTCCCGAAGCCTGGTAGAGGCTAGGCTATAAACCTCTGTTTAGAGATCAGCTGCAGTGATTTGATTTATTATGACTGTCTCGAGATTCAGTACCAAAGTGCAAAGATGCTTTACTATGTCACGATAGTGACTCTTTGCTTTCTTTGTAATTAGTGTTCTCTGTAATCGCATTGGCGTGACTCAGAACGTACAGAGACACGGATCAGCACTGAATCATCGTCTGTCAGTTTGCGTTCATAATTCCAGATCAACCACAGATGTGTTGTGGAAACGTGAAACATGAAGTGCAAAGGGTCTGTCAAAATCAAACTCTCCCGGTCTCACGACATTCGAATGACCTGAAAACATGTTTCTTTTGGTGGTGAATATGCCTTGACTGTTGTTGTGAGAAATGATGGAATACACGAGTAGTTACTTGTATGTAGTAAGGAAGTCTCATGCAAATGCGGGTGGAAGATGGAGGGAAGATTTATTCGCCATTCATTCATTCATTCATTCATTCAATTACAGCTAGGGTGGCAAAACAAAAAGATGAGAAAATTTGGATGGGGAAACTTGTCAGATATTGACACTCTCACTTCTTAGGACATTTTCGTCATCATTTCACTGTCACAAAAAATGCTACGTGAAGTTAGAACAAGCCTACGATGCAAAGTAAGCAACCGTTTTCCGTCAGTGAGCATCGCAGTTTTGCATCACAGATGTCAGTATGCTATGGGATGGAGTCGATTCAACTTACTACATTAATTAAATACTAGTATCATGACCAGAAAATTGACTTTGAAAATCCAGTTTTGCCGTCTTGAAATTGCATTGGAACGTACAGGAAAGGACTGTGTACAAGCTTGCCTGAGTAGGAAGTTTTTTTTTTCCTGCTTCATCGTCTGATTTACGACCGGCCAAGCCCCGACCTTCCCCCCGGCCCGGCCCAGCTGTCCCCGTGTTTGTTTCACACGACCTAACCCTCCAGTTTATCGGTCTCGTATCGCCCTAACGAGGACTGCATGCCTGTGTTTTCTGGCGACCGAGGGCTTCGCGAGCGGCCGCCCGGTTTGATCTCAGCGCCCGTGGCCTTATCTGGGGGACGTAGACGCAGGGCGACGTCAGTTTACAACAAAGACGTGTGATTAGTGGCTTTCGCCCCTCTATTACTTGTTAGCTTAGGCTTATCGAGGGTATCATTACAACGATAACATACACTCCACACTGAATTGAGTTAGACTGGGCAGTTTAGACGTTTGAATCGGTTTCTAAACGATAGGGGGTGTGGGAAAAGGTCAGGTGAGATATCCAACCCTACGGTCTAGCCACGTGCGCGGTTCGGTGCACGGATGAATGGGTACATTGTATATGCCTCGGACTTGTAGATCACATGCACGTAGTTTCACCTTTGGCGGTTATTGGAATCTTGAGTAGCTGAACCACCTGAAACACCTGTTAGATTTCCCCCCACCCATGTTCACAGGTTGTTGTTGTGGTTTTAATTAAATGCTGTTGCGGAAACAAAGCTCAGTTTCTACGCATCACTTAAGCGGACGTAAACAACCCTCTCACCCTATCATTTCCAATATAGTGATTATGAATATTCCCAGCTGTCTTTGCAGAGATAAAATGCGTTCTCAAATTTGTCTCAAAATGATGTTACTAGCTTCCATTCCCCAAAATTATCTCTGAAATTCTTGCCCAGAAATTTCACCAAAAAAAAGCACAACATGCCACATGATAGAGGTTCAGTTTCCATTGAGGACAAAACAAGTCTCCGTCACGCATATACACTTGACACATCTGTCAGAGCGCATAGCTCACACACTCTAATATACACATACATTTTACTCTTTTTTTTTCCAATCCAGTACCATGGTGGTGTGACCAAAATCATAACGTAAACATTACGGACATACTCTCTAGACGAAAAGTGTCAGCAGGTTTTATTTTTACTTTGCACATATGTGTACGTTGTTAATATCAGGCGCTGAAAGTCCGGGTGTTGGTGACAGAAGAAGACTTGTTTTGACGCGAAATCTTGACCCTGAACCGTCAAAAGCATTCGACTCACTTACACGGGGACGTGGCCAAGTGTTAGCCTCTACCAGGCTTCGGGAGGCGGCTGGAAAGACTAGAAATTGACCAAATTGAGAGATAACATGCCAGGCGAGTTGGTTCGCTATAGAGTGCGGCAAAATGTAATCTAGATGTCTAGCCGACCAACTCCTCTGACATGTTATCTCTCTATTTGGCTAATTTCTACACATTCCAGTCGCCTGCCGAAGCCTGGTAGAGGCTATCCAAGTGTGACGATCACGTTGTCTACAATTGTAAACTTGACGTGCCCGCTGTTGACTGACTGAGATTCAGACTCCGTGATAGACACAAGTGCGGCAAACTGTACTCCTTTAGCGGACCAACTCACCTGGCGCATGTTATCTGTCTATCATGTTGGCCGATGTCTACTCTTTCCAGCCGCTTCTAAGTACTTCTGAGTCGGTGTTCCCCATAGCCTGGATGCCAGACTCATATCACAAAGTAATGCACACTGAGATATTACTTTGGGCCCAGTGTGCTATGGGTCTGACATCCAGGCTATATTCCCCAAAGGTTCGATATCCTCCAACTTGCAAATATCAATTGCGGTCATGTGGACATCCCTAGGAAGAGCAGTCCTACCAGAAGACTGGTGGAGACTCAGTCATGATCAATACTAGTGTATCTCATCGTCACGCCCCCCTCCCCACTCAGAGTACAGAAAAACAGTCTCCTAAAGTTGAACGACAACGTCAAAATGAGAGGGAGAAGCTTTGTTACTTGTCCACTGATACTGCAAGTTCGCGACTGATTATAACTTGTAAAGAATATGCACTGATTCTGTATCCTTGTTCTCTCTGATCAAGACATCAGTTATCACGGTGATGAGTTGTCCTCTGGGAGGAGTAGTTGTGGTTGGATTGTGGTTTGTAAGAACATCATCATTTATAGGAACCAACACACAGAATAGAGTGGCTAGTTACCATGAAGGGTCCTTCTATTTTACATTGTGACTATACACAGCAAGTAAAAAAAAATGGAACTACATTATGTCTACCCTGATGTAAAGCAATCAAACAGTTCCATTGGTTTTCTTTGTTCTTTTCATTTGATCCTTGATATTTTCTTCTTCCCAAAAGGAGCTACTTTTTTGCTAACAGAATCACGTTAACAGGTTATTGCACCCAGTCCATGAATGCCCGAGAAGATTACAATGCTGCAACCTCGCTCGTTCTTTGACAAGTTTGAGCAGGCCGCGTGTGGGTGGCAAAGATCCGAAGGTCAAGGCCCACTGACGCACCTGACCAAACCCAGAGACAGAGACACAACTAACATTGACATTGTCAGTGTTACCGAACCCACGGTGCCATTTCGGGAAGTGCGTCTCCCCTGGTTTCCTTGTCCACGCGCGTCGGTATACGGTTCCCCCGGCCCATAGATGTTGGACGTTCCATCGTGGTTGGCCTAGAAACGCAACACAGATTTAGATCGTTGAAGAGCGTTTGGTAAACAAAACATCGACGAAAATCCACACAAACTGTGTCGTCCTTTCTAAATATAGCCGGGTCTTGACGTAGGTCTGCGGAGCGGGGTTGATCAAATCACTCGCCCGGGCTTTCAACTCCGAGCGGGAGCGTCTGACACAACAGAGGCGGTGTACGCCGGGGAGCTCTGGGTAAATATCCACGGGTTTCCTGTCAAACAACCGAGAACAACAACTTTTAAGGTCAGAAGAAAAGACAAAGTCTGCTGAGATGGTCTCCGAGACATTCCTTCATATCAATGAAGCCAGGGCAGTCCCACGGGTTCAGGCGACGCTTGGCTGTTCCTGACCTGTTTTCTTTTAGGCTTCGCGTTGGAGGAGTCAGGCTCCGGGCGTTGGCCTTTATTTTTTCGTCTTTTTGGGGGACGGTTTTGCTGTTAGCAGCACTTTTGTGTCTCTGTAGTTTTCTATTAGTGAATCAAAGACCTTTTATTGTACATCTACGATCTTAGAAGCTAAGTATATTATTATTAATTATGCATAAAGCATAGAGCTATCTCACTATATGATTTACAGAAATGTCCGTGCTGCTACCCACCGGTTCGACGACTATATACAATTTCAATTTATCGCTTCTCAATCCAAAGATGTTCAGTTCAGTTCAGTTTATTTCGCACTTCAAAACAAAATGTAACAATACAAAATACAAGAAAGGGAGGCCGGAACCATAAAATGCTTATGAGGAGGCCTCCCTTCATAACGTGATTAACAATTCAAATAAATCGGATAAATTATAATAAATCGGATAAATAATGATGTACGAGTATGAACTTATAATCCACGGTTTGTCTACTTCCATTGTATAATTTGTACATGTCTTCGATGTGTACCGCCTTCGGTGTCTGGCAAAAGCTCATTTGCCAACATGTCAACCAGTCTGTATATAACGTCCTTGGTCTGGTGTAAGTCGACAGATTGGTCCCTGGTGACTCAAGTCTGTCAGCGTTTGAACTGCAGGACGGTAAAAAGGAGTAGAGAGGCAAGCGATCTCTAGGGCAAGTCGGATCTCCAAGCAGATCTTTCAAAGACAGTACCAAATTGGCTAGGCAGTATCCATTTGCCAGACAGTTACCATATTTCGACACCATTTCGGTGGTAACTGTCTGGCAAATGGATACTGTCTGGCCAATTTGGTACTGTCTTTGCGGCCAACCGAAAGATCTGCTTGGAGATTAGTAAGTCGCACACTACCAGTGAAAATATAATCGTCATTTCCCACAAAGTGTGTGTCTGCCCCTTGATTAATCTGAATGAATTGAATGGTTTATGATAAACTTTATTGATGAAAGAATTACTACAACGTTAACAGGTGTTACAGCATCACAGCTGGATTTGAAGACGCAGTACTGCTAGAAAGACATACATGCGGTTACACTATTAAATCTGCGGGCAGATCATCTGTTGGCCAAAACAATCTTGACTGCTGACCACTGAGACGTCAGTCCTGGTCGCAGGACACTTTGGGAATGTTTATGCAAGGACTAGGTAAAAGATTGCACGATGCAGACCACAGGGCGGTGTTTATAAGGCCCTGCTGTATTCAGAATCGTGCTTTATCCAAACCGATGTTCAGGGACCGTTCTGAATAGTCCACGCGTAGCCACAAATCTGGGACAAATCTACGTTCTTGGATACGCGTAGACTACCCAAAATCTAAAACCGTGCCTGATCCTAACCCTAACCCATTCAGGTATATCTTTCAGCGTACTAGTAAGGTTTTTTTATGAATGAAGCCCTAATGGTGGACCTACTCCCCAGGCCAGTCGGACCCTATTTTCGCCGAACTCTACCGTAACCGGCAACCTACCCACCCGAAAGGCGAAATTTCATAAAACGCCTAAAATAAGCCGAAGAATAAGCCGAAGCCTGAAGCCTGAACCTCTGCTTGGAGAGCAGGCACGGGTGCCGCCTGATGGGGTGAGGCGGTGACCTCCGCCAGAGACCGGCGTTATCGTCACTTGTCTAATGGCGTAACACGTTCATGTCAGCGCTCTGTCAAAGCAAAAGGTCACCAGAGTGACGTTGTAAACACTTTTAGAGGCACTCCCACGGCCCTTAACACATTGCCCGACCGGACAGACTGCATTTTGTGTACGATAAGACGTCACACCTGTGGTGTAGGTTGAACGTGCTCGAATGTGATGTCTGGGACTTCTCTACAATTGTAAAGGTTTAGGCTTCGGCTTATTACCTTCGCCAATAAGGATATGTTTTCAGTAGCGTTTATATGTATGTATGTGTGAGTGTGTGTGTATATGGTTTAGCACGATAACTCAAGAAGATTTTGATGGATTGTTATGAAAGTTGGTAGGTGGATAGGTGTTGATGAGACCTAGAAATGATTAGATGTTGGGCCCCCTGGCGGCTTTGCTTGGCACTGCGGCATAACTTCCGCTTTTGATATCTCACGATCTGGGCATGCTAGAGTCACGATTTTTTATTTATTTTTGGTGTGTTTTAGGTCTATACTATTTATTTTAGAGTACTTGGAACAGCCAATGCTCTTTGCTGGTATATCGATATCCTATCATATAACAGTGTATCAAGCCATTTCCTATCATACAACTTATATCTCACCACTTTTAACCATAAAATCACCATAATACAATACACCAACTAACACAAACACACATGGTATAATTTCAATCATTTGCTTTCCTTTATTCTGTGAATATATTTGATCTGATATTCCAGTCTTCCGAGATACCCTCGGTGGAATTTTTCAAACGTATACAGACGACATGTCCTCTCTCTTTCATAGATCTTTGTAACATTTGTCACTCATATCTCCTAATATATATACAATAACTCTTACAAAAATAGGGTGAATTTTTCTTTTCTCTTTCTCTCAGACTATCGTCGTAAAAAACAATCACACAGCCAATTCGACACATAAGAAAAGAAAATCTTCCTAATGCCAGTCATAATCTTTGTCTCAAAACGTATGCTGTTTTATGATATAACAGCGGTGGTCAAGAACTAGATAATCATAATACATAGTAAAAACGGCTGCCATTCACACAATACTGTTCTTGTACAGTTTCTTGCCATTTTAACAGTCTGGACTTTTGGTAGCTACTTCTTTTCCCAAGCAGTAGTTGCTGGTAGAGTCTTTCTCTGTCTCTAGTATTTTTATTTCCTGTCAGGAAAATGTCTTAAAAAGTATCCTAAAAAAGGGGGGTCCCGTTTGAGCCAGACATAAAGGGTATACAGAAAACAATGTGCCGATACAGGCCAGGTACGTAAAAGGTCAGAAGGTCACGTGATCACCGGTATTAGCCTCTGCCAGGCTTCAGAGGTGGCCTGAAAGAGTAGAAATTGGCCAGATAGACAACATGCTAGGGAAGTTGGTCCGTTAAAGGAGTACAGTCTGAAGGCACAAACTGTACTCTTCAGCGGACCAACTCCCCTGGTATGTTATTTGTCTATCTGGTCAATTTGTATCCTTTCTAGCCCCCTCTAAAGCCTGGTAGAGACTAACTTTTTTCCCAGCCGTCCCTTTTGTCTGGTTCACGAGACCAGTAGCAACCCTTGACATTATCATCTCCCCACATAAGTGGTACTTGAGTTCTTTGGTGGGGAGCCTAGTTCTGAGAGAAAATGGAAGATTTGGACGATAGATTGTAAGCTTGACATTTAGAAATGTTTTGAAGGACAGGGAATTCAACCAAAAAGTGGAGCGCAATGGGCTACTCGGACCCAACAACAACAGTTGCACATTTGATCTTTTTTTGCATAGCAGCATTAGATAATATAGATATGATGTAAGAAAAGTTCTTGGAGGACAAGAAAAAAGTTCTTCAATAAATAAATACTTCCAACAAGTAATATGTACATATACCACGTGACACATAAATTATAATAAATACGCTCTTTTTTCTGTAGAATCGAATACCTGTCCCGATTCTCGTTCGTTTTGTGTCACTTTTTTCTTCTCAAACTGCGCATGCCCGCGCGCATGCTCAGCATAGTCAATCACCACAAATCATATCAAGCCGTATCTTAGATACAGCTGGGTCATAGGTCAATTCGGAATTTTTTTTGTTCTCCATCTAAAAAAGCCGATTATCATAGCGCATGGGAAGACGCGTGATTCGTTGTTATCTAATATGATTATCTGGTTGCGTAATCGACACCGTGCTCAGTTAGCTGGCCACAGCTTGTTCAGGATCTAACCTAATCATCTATGGGTATAGGATTCTCATTTGAACCAGAACGGTGGGTGGTTCTTGTCAATCAAAAGCAGCAGTAATGCTAGTCAACTAATTAGCACCGAGCATTTTTTTATCGGATCGGATGCCATTGGCGTTCCAATCCACGTACTAACCATTGCTATAGCGAAGTGCGGGACGGGGTCTTTTTATGTCGGGTGGACAGCATCCCCTGCTACACCGGCGCAACATGGTCTACAGCCTGAGACGTCAGTCCTTGCATAGTCTTTGCATAGAAGGGCGGTGTCGCAGCTCAGATCATCTCTTGCCAAGAATGTCCTGGTACAAAGATGGTACTTTCTCAGGATCCACGGGTCTTGGAAGAAAGTGGGTGAACTTCTGTGTCTTTCTTGACCTATTGCCCTTTCTGGCTGTCCCGTCTTTGTTCAAGGCAACGAAAAATGGTCTCCCGTTTTTGTCGTTCCGGTGTTCGTGAGACGCATAGGTGTTGTAAAAGTTCTCCTCCATGTTTTCCCTGAAGATGCAATCCCGATTCAGCTGGTCCTGGGAGACAAGATAGTAAAAAAAAAAAACACCCGTTAAAGATTATCCACACTGTTTTTGTTTACAGATCCTAGAATTTAAGAGATGAAGCGAGGCTACAGAGAAGCTTAAATGATTAGTCGGTTTATACCGGCTTGTACCGGTCGATTGGGGTGGTCTTTGCGGAATCACTCGAGCATCTATCTGAATAAACCGAGACATCTGATACACCTCGAGATAGCAAGAGCTTTATCAGACGAACAATGCCGCCGCAGTATCAACATTGTTACACCTAGATGGCACATTTGGTCGGGCTGCATTTTATTGAGTGACGGCATCAAGTGGTACAAAGAGTTACAACTGTACAGCGAGATTAGGGGTAGTTGTACATAGTACATGTACATCCCTGGTGATAACATGGAAATAGTTAATCTCCAAGCAGATCTTTCGGTGGGGGTAAGACAGTATCAAATTGACCAGCCTGTATCCATTTCCCTACCAATGTACACCGAGAATCTCAATACAACTCGCATGTCTGGAAGTTTGGTTCATCTCTGTATGCGTGGGGGTCACGAAGTTGGTATAACTTTTTACTAAGTAAGGAAGTGTGCAATAAGCGTACGACTGTTTAAGTGTGCATCAAAATCTTTGTAGGTTTGGCTCTGATATGAGTACAAGACCCGACGTTTTTGGGCTGAGAGTTACGAAATATGCATCACAAAATATTACGATGCTACCATCTTGTACATGCATATGGTTTACTGGATCATGATTAAGTCTATGCGGCATTCAATGATTGTAATTTTGGTACTAGTGTGTATTTGTACAATGAGCGGTGGTAATAATAAGGAAACCAGTGCGCCCCGTCTGGTGTGTGCTTGTAATGGATACAGGTTTCAATGGGACAATTGGTTAAACCGACAGTTTGTGATGAGGACATCAAGGTTTCCGCGTTCTGTCCCTGATGGTGGTGTTTTACCCGAGCAGTGCTCAACAATTCAAGAGCACTGCAAATAAACGTTTCGTCAGCACAGCGCCCTAACTACGTACTTTGCGGTTTTTCCTCTCTTCAGGGCAGGTATCAAAGGCGCCCGCCGCCGGCGAGCAAGCGGCCTTTGGCCTGGACCATGTCGGGGCCGATACACAAACTGATACACACACATAGAGAGGCTTTCCATCTACCTGAGGCGAAATCCAATCAGCAAACACCAGACACACAGGCAAACATTTGTATGGAGACTCACGGCCGTCAGGGAAATATTTTGGGGGTTACCGCTGTGACAGGCGCCTTACAGAAAACCTTGAGAAAAAAAAAGAAACCACGACGTCATCCCTCACTCAACCACCGGGCGGGTAAAGCCTGTGTTATTTTAAAGCGAGGATGCGGAAAGTCCTATGATTGGGGCTTATCCTGTATTTTGAGGCTATCACTTTAGGCTTTCATTTGAGCACACTTGTTAGGGCGATTGACACTGGGATGTAATCTGCCACCAAGCAGTTTTGGTCAGGCGGCAAAATCGTAACTGCCGGCCAAGAGGGTCCTAGCCTGTAGCCTGGATACCGGGCTGTTCTCAGGGCGACAAGTCAATACATAGACTAGACCCAGTGTTGTCCAGAGGGTAACTGCATGAGGGGGTCTGTGGTAAAATTTCCTTGGGGACATGTTGGTCCTGGAGCCGAGGAGCTAGTAGCAGTCTGGCACCCAGGCTACGGTCCTACGGCAACTTGGCCGTTACAGGCCCCCAGTTTGGCCTTGGCCGGCGGTTACACGATTTTGCCATATCGGAAAATCTGCTTGGAGGTTTCACGTCTTTCATCGTCCCACTGATAAACATCAACCTTACTCACCGAGCCGTACATGTCGCCGTTCTCGTCCATGCCGAGGTACAGCCCGCTCTTCACGCCTCGGATACTCATCAACCCCGTCGCCACCGATATGAACTCCAGTATACCTGCGGACACACATCGGTAAAAAAAACGTCGTCAGTCATCCCTATAAAACATAATGCGATTGAGTGGTGGCATCAAAGCGATCCTAAACCAACCTAAATGCCTTATCCGCTTTGGCTGTGTACATTGAAATTAGAAAGTTAGTTTTAGTTGGTGTGTCTGGATTTATTTTGCAAGGCGAGAAGCGGGCGGGAGTGTGTGTGGATCCGAGGTGAGTGAGTGCTTTGCCAATGACCCCGTCATCTTCCCATGACCAGCCGTGTCGGATCAGAGCCGACCACTTTATTTGTGACTTCAGTCTCCGTCTCCTGTGCGTTATCAGGGCAGTCGAGCTGTTATAAGGCTCCAAGTTAAACAAACCGATAACGCCAAAGGTACTACAAGAACGTTTTATTTTTTCTCTGTTTAAACCACATACAAATTAGACACAAAAAGCCATCTGTTTTTGTCGGACTCAATATAAATAATGTATTTACACACTTCACGCTGCTACATTGTGCCGATAAGAAAAGGAGAGGACCGGGGACCTTTTCATCGTGTGTGGCAGGGGGGGATGAGACACTGTAGGGAATAGCACAAAAAGGTGCAGCATTCAAATTCAATTGGTGGGCCGTCGGTCTTACAGAGATGGGAGGGCCGCCAACAATGGAAACCATACCGGGAGATGCTTGTTACCCATCAGGGTCCGTGAGACTCAGTATTATGCTAACACAAAAGCCCGCCGTCTTTCATGATCGTCCTTGTCATGTTGCAAAGACGGTATTCCTCTGCAAGCAACACAAACCGCCCTCCCCATCTCTCACCTGCCTCACGATATTAGCTACGGAGGAGAAGAAAAGAGAGTTCCACTCCGCAGACTTGGCGCGCGTAAAATCCCCCACCAGCGAGTACAGGGAGGGAAGTAGGCTCTGTGTTTTAAAGCCGGGTTTAACGTTTAGCCCGGGGCTCGTATGTCACCCCTCTTGTCAGCCTTATGTACACAGTCAGCTCCGATAGCCGGCTAGCCCGGCCACCCCTCGGCCATGCCGCGCGATTATCACACCATTGACTTGTCCCTGACCGAAACTCTTTCTCAAAACGCCCATAAAAATTCCGCAGACGATAATCTGACGTAAAATGTCAGGGCGAGACGTCCCCGACGCTGAACCCAGGTGGGAAGGCGCGCTTTTCACCAGTCGGCAACGAGACGGACATGTACGGTTAGAAACACGCACAAAGCAAACTTGGCCATTGATGTATCGAGGTGAGAAAAACAAGAGTTGATGACGCAGGGGGAATAAATCGCCTTTTGTCTTACTAAACGCGGCCATCAGTGCCCCTCAACGACAACAACTTATTCGGTCTTCATTTGCACCTTTTGTTCGCGACATTCCAGCCCGGGCCCGTCAATGGGCCTGGTCGGGACTGATCCTGAATGACACATGGTGTTGGCTGCCGTGAACATTCCGTCTCATCTACATCCCACACCGGCGAGCCTGTCACGCAGATTTGGTGACTAGAAACTCAGCCCTGACAAAAGTTTTTTTTTACCCGTCCACGCCTACCTCCTACAAAACGTGTGTGTCACCCCCCTGTACGGTAGAACCGGCTACCGGCAGCGCTACTGGACACGGCGTAATCGGTGTTATATGTTAGAAGTGGTGGCCATACAAACAAAGTAGCTAGGATGACACAACACTTACCGAAAACACTGTGGTCTTGCCGCGTGCCGTTAACTGTGCCGTCGGGGAAGATTTGCAGGTGAAATCGGGTGCGACAGTAGAGTTGTCGCCGCCTCAGGATCCCTTCCAAATGGGAAAACTGGTCGGCATTTCTCGCACTCCTCTCCCCCATGTGATCCGACAACAGTAGTCCCGGGTCTGGCATTTGTCCTCCGACTTGAAATCCCCCAAAACCTCCCAAAAAGTTCGCAAGTGCTGGCATGATGTCCTCAAACGAGCATATAAGGTGAAGACGTGTAACTGCGGGGTAAAAAAATAATCCTCAAAGTCCTGCTCTGGACCGAGTCGTCAGCGCGTCTTCTAATACTAGTCCTAATGAGGAGTCTCCTGTCACCAAGTCGGTGATGAGTCTTGAATCTGCCGGGAAGGCGGCCGCCGGGAGCCCTGAGACGTGCTCGTGTCGTCTGAATTGCCTCTTAATGACTGCAGATTGAAGGCCAATCGAGCTGTTTATATACATCTATATGTAAATAAGCCAGGGGCGGGATTGAATAGGGTTGCGTTGGAGGAATGTGCCGGAATGCCGGATCACGGGGAAGGTGGGTCGGAACGGGCGAGACTCCAGATTTGGAGGAAGTTTGTCGAGTATAAAAAAAGTGGTTAATCTTTCAGCGTCAAGTCTTCAGATCTAACGTTTTCAGACCGTTGCGTCACAGTGACGACGCAGAAAGACTGGGTGGACCTTTCCTGTACTAGGCGCGCCGGTTCTCCGGTCATCTAGTAATCCCCTTCAACGGCGGGACACGTTGCATTGTGGTTTGATGACGTCGGCACACAATAAAAGATAATGCATGGGAGTTGAAAGAGACCGCGCATAGCTCAAAGGTGGTTCTTGCTATGACTGTCACGATGCCGTATATACGTACGTCCATACACCCACACGCGGAGATCGGGCTTTCCCAAATACAAATGGACCGGTCCAACTGATGACAAGAAGGGGGTTCTCTCAGCAACCAATCACAGAGCGCGGTGCAGTATGAATTTCTCCGCAGAAGAATGGCTACAAACCGAATGACGCATTTGCAGACGTTTTCCAATGTCTACAGTCGTTTCCTATTTCGAAAGCAAGCCATTCAGCCCAAATAGACTGTGAAGTTAAAAATCATCTTTCTACAAACAAACCGAGGACTTTGATCCAGTTTTGAAGTGAGCTGGGAAAGGCTAAGGGCGGCAAACGTGGGCCGGACAGAAATAGAATCAGAGTCCACTAGACAAGCAAACTAGGACAATATGAGGACATGTGTGACCATCTGACGTCAAAGCTACGTCATTGTTACACAAACATTAGCTCAGCAAACAAATTCTAAGGAAAATAGATCGATTTGTCAAAAAAATTGCCATCACAATTTCCTTCCGCAGGTGTGCTAGGGTTGAACAAGTGGTTCCGCGCCATGTTTTCCTGCACGTCCACCTTTCCTGGGCCGCTGACTTCCTCGCATTGAGGCAACAGATTTTGCGGCAACCGTAAACTGTTGACACGACCAATGAAAAGGAGTGAGTCACAAGAGTGGTTCCACCAACACATTTTTTATTCATATGTTTGAAGTTGTTATAGCCGGTCTGCCTGTCCAAATACCCCGCCGGGCACTTTTGTCCCGCAGGGGGCATGCCGGGTAATGTGCCACCGGGACATGCGCCGAAGGGACATCCAAGATGGCGGCTTCTCGACGAATTTTTACCCAGCTTAGGAATTCGACGGGACTTTTGACCAAAAATGTCGCCACCAGCGGCACGAGAAGAGGAACGGCGGTGCTGTACGCCGTGGGGGCTGTCGGCGCGATCACCGGCCTGGTCTATGCCCGAAGGAGGCGTGGGGAAACGGCCATACAAGTCGGTCTACCAGTCGTGATGGCGAAAGAGGTCTGTTTGGGTTCTGTACCATAAAATTATGATTTTGTTTTGCTCGGTTTTTACATCGGAATATTGCGTTTATGTCACCATAGTTGTGCACAATGACTTTATTTCAAACTAAATGCGAGCTTGCAATGCAAAAAGCGCGCGATTTGAGCTATGCAAGTGTCATGCAAATACTAGTTAGTATGCTATCGGCCGTAGGACAACATAAATATGTCATAAATAAAGCCCCGCCCCTCCCAGCCGTGGAGACTCTAGATTCGGGCTTGCATTTCATTACCCTCAGCAAGAGTCGTGGAAAGATCCCTTGGCAGAACTGCACATTTCCCGTTGGCTGCCCGATGCTCTGTTTTCATCCTGTTCTTTTGCTGTCCCGAGCTACCCTGCAATATTACTCCACAATTGGCCGGGTTGCTGGTGTTCATATTGCCCTAGATATTCCACAGTGCGACCGAAAACTACTAAACTCGCTAAGTTTACAATATAGTCAGAAATGTCCGGTACGGCCGTCGGGAATGCTCGGTAGCGTCACGATTACCGAAACGCGACCAAAAGCGCTCCGATTATAACCTGAAAGGCTACCGAGTGTTCCCGAATCAAGAGCGTTCCCGAATCAAGAGTCTCCATGGATACGCGCCTCAAACGTGCCCTACGAATTCACCTGTTCGATAACCCAGAAGATGTCGTGACCAGACGAAATGTAGTCGTGACACCCAAAAAGTCAACATGTTTACTTGCAAAACGTGAGAAAATTAAATGAGCAAATAGGAATAGATAGATATCACTATCAGTCAAGACCATGTCGACCAAGTACATGATCCTGCTGACCCTTTCTGCACCCACTGGATAACTATTGACCCTGCTGAATGTATAATTAACTTTCCAATGTAATCAAGAAATTGCACCTATACACCCCCTTTTCATGATTAGAATTTAGATATGTGATCTGGTTGTACAATGCCTCTATACTGTTACTTCACAATTATATCTTTCTGCTATGCTTTCCCCAAACCAAATACGTGTATTTGTGTACAATAGCTTTGTTTTGTGTTAAATTATAAACACTGTGCAAATCTTTGCTTTTTATAATTATCAAGGAAACAGATGCTTGATATCATATTAGTCTGGTTGTGCTATTAATAACAACCATTGGAATGTTCAAACTAATTCTAGTTATTGATACAGTATATGATATAAAATGTACTTTTATGGTAATATGTTGCATAAGTTTGACCTTCACATTGCTTGAATCAATAAGAATATTGAAACTACCCAAATTCAAGCTTTGATTTTGACGTGTGTATGTAAGTTAATATTGTGATAATATCAGACTGTGATGTTGATATATTCAATCATGAGGTTGCAAATTGAATAATGCACTCCTTCATCCAGGTAAGTCATACGTGTGACGCAAGTTCAAAACAAAGTATGTGGAACAGTCTGTCACTGTGTGTAAAAATAGCTTGTTTGCTAGTTCAAGTGATCCAACTTAGCAATGGCGTCAGGCGACACATTGTTGGAATACCTTGAATTTTTATGTTTTGGAGGAAGACTGTCAGACAGGTTGATAAATGGTTAACCTGTGTTTAACAATGAACAGGAAATTTTGTTGTCCCTGGTTCATACTCCATGTACACCATACAGGTTAAGGTCACTGTTCAAAGTTTATCTGTTTTTGAGTTGAAGTGCTTTATGTACGTCAGACTGGCAACTGGTGACGTTGAATCCAACCTTTGATTCTTTGGTGATGTTATTTATAATATTTCTTATCTTATCTGTTCCTATTCAAATACATGTACCATTGTTACATTACCAAGTATGGATCAATATGTTATGTAATTCTGAGGAAAACATTTGTGCTGGGATTACAACAAATGCTTTGAGTGGGGTAGGAATTGTACTTATTTAATGTTTCCATGTAGTAGATAATTTTTTGTGATTTTTTTCAGGTTTTATATCAGGTTTCAATGCTGCAATAAGAGTACATACATAAACATTGCCCCTACTCATTGGCTACTCACTCATCAAAGTCATTGTCATATATCAATCTACATGAGATTAAACAAAAAATCTTCATTTTAGAATACATTTAATGTTATATACACATAGTTTCTGTCAGTACATTGCAGTTTCAAACCATCCAACTTTTATCCAAAAATCCATTGCAAGTCTCAAACCATCTTACTTTGATACATTAAGCTTGCAGCATCATAAACTCTAGAATAAAATAGCTTCCTTGCTGGTACATGTAGTAAAAATGCATTGTAAAAATGTCATGTTATATTGTGGGCAAGTGAAAAGTTGGTTCAGGCAAGTGGTAATAACAATTATGTACTTGCCCTATCGGGCAAGTGGATTTTTGAAAACTTGTCCAACCCTGAGTCAATGCTATTGTGTACTTGTCATGACTATGTGATTTCCTCAATGCAGGTCTAGCCTGTTTCTTCATCTCTGTTTCTCATGCTATGTTTGTCCACACCCATACTTCATGATATGGTATCAGATGGCCTGCTCTCCTGTAAGAGCAGAAGAGTTCATTTGATCCAAGGAAGTTGACAAGTAATGACTCAGTATCCTCTGTATGTGGACACGCCCAGTATCCCAAAGTCCTCTACCACTAGTACTAGGCTTTAGATTTGGCCAGAAAGAGTAGAAATAAGCCAAGTTATAGACAGATAACCAGTCAGGGGAGTTAGTCTGCTAAAGTAAAACTTCTGGTGACTTTACAGTTTGAAGCTCACGCTTGGTATGTTATCTGTCTATTTGGTCAATTTCTACTCCTTCCAGCTGCTTTAGAATAGAAGCCTTGTAAAGGCTCAGGATGCAATGAAATTTCAGGCAATGGAGAAAGTAGGATTTGGCGAGGTGATACGCTCAACCCAGGATTTGAATTGTTTGAGCTTTCTGTGTGAATTTGGAAGGAGGGAGCAACTGAATGTGTTCAGGTGTGTATGTGAGTGCCATGGCATCACCAAGCATCAATTGAAGATGTGCAATTCACAAACAACTATTCACAGGGCCAGCTGTGCCACACAATACACTGGCAAACACCTGCAACTAGAAATCATGTAACTTTAGATTAAGTAAACTAACACATCTCGCTCTATACAGATAAAAGATGCTTTGTATCTTCTTTCTTGCATCCTGTTTGCTCGGAAAGTGATCCTTCTTTTTTTCACAAAAGGTAGCTTCTGCAACTATCCTGGTAACTTGTAGACTTGTATGACAGTTACTATAGTAACTTAGGGTGTTTTATAAACAGTTAATTGTCATTTCTTTGGTTAAGATGCTAGACTTAATGATGAAGATGCTTATCCTGTGTAGACCTAGTACTAGTAGTACATGACTGATTGTGCTTTTAAACCTGCATGTATTAACAGTCTACACTTAAAACTTTTGTATTTCCAATGAACCAACAGAGACCAAACTGTAACATAGTGCTATTGATGATGCTCAGCGGGTAGCAAATATTTTGTAACTGTATTCACATTTCTTTTGATTGAAATTTAATCCCTTCTAAACTATTTTGGATACATAGTCCAACTCTTAGAGCTTGGCCTGTGTGACGAACATCTACATTGTGAGTCGCCAATCTTAAACCAGACAAAATAAAGCTAGTGATGATCATTATTATAGTGCCTTTGTTACCTCCCTTCTCCTATGCTCAGTTGACTTGCTTTGCCAACATTGATATCCATGGGGTAAATTTTGTTGGCATCACACAGACCCCACAAATAGAGTACATTCTATGATTCTGTGCCGTCCCTGGTTGTATGGCATGTAGGCCATGTAAATTTGTCAGCATACATAAGTGTTATTGTTTAGGTTAGTTGAAACTCTAGAGCTGTTTTCAACGGTGCCAAGAAATGCTGTGTGCTTGAGGAACTCTAGATGATGCCATCAAGGTAGAGCAGTCTTCAGTCTCGCCGTGCCTGACCAAAAGTTGCCGGTCTGCCAGTGTTGTTCACCAGATAGGGTATATCAATGCCAATGTAAAGTTTAATGTAACGGTACCCCGATATGTAGCTGAGGTGCAGACATTACAGCTAATGGCAGGGCATGCTCGGGTGAAGGCGAAGAGGGTGGCGCGATATCGTGTTCTGTTGACACGGCTACACGGGGGCCGGGCAGCGGCACGCTATGCCGTCTTCCCCTCACCTGCCCACATTGTGTCAGCGACAAAGAGGCTACGGTAGGTCAGAGAGGAGAAATATCACGGAACATGTTTTCCGCGGCCGGCCCTATTTGTACTGGCGCATGCACTGACACCCTACACCGCCTCGTACACGGGCCACCCAAGTTCAGGCCACCGGTGTAGCAGCAGACAAATGTCCCGAAATGCTTTCATTTGTTTGCGTTTTCAATAAAATTGTATAGGGTCAGGGAGGAGCAACAGTATCTGGTGTGCGTGGCTACTCTACCGGTGGTGTCGGGAGGGCCAGTCGGTCTGCGGCGTCTTTGTAACTCCACATACTGTAGGGAGGGGACACGAGGGCAGCCTGAATGAGCAGGAATTGTTGGAATGTTGATGGGGAAATCAATGCAGTTTGGGAGATCCCACATCAACACTGGAGACTGTACTGAGGGCTCTTATTGGATTATCATTGATAATAAACCCAAGTACCATTCAGTGGAATACGGCGTCTACTGGCTATCACTCAATAAGATAATTACAGTAACTTCTGTTAGCTTTCATGATGAATTCTTTAATGTACAAATTCTTTAATCAAAGAGGATGAGAGGCCAGAGACAATTTGGATCAAAGTGTGGCAAGTTTGAAAACCTTGCAGAAAACCAAGTGGGTTATTCTTAAAGGCCTATAAGTATAACCTCCTTGAGAAAACGTCAAGGAAGGGAGGGAGGAGTCTTGAGAGTAAGACAACTAGTTCAGTGGCAGATGACAACCACCTGTGGACCCAAGAACTGTAACCATTTCATTGGATATATTTGAAAGTATTCGACTGATTTGGTTAAACCTGGTCTGACTCAGAATAACATCCAAGAAC